GCATAGCTAGCCGTTTGCGCTTTAAATTTCAAAACAGATTCAAGCCTCTGGTTTTCCAGACCGACGATCCAACAGACTTTTTTTGGTTATTTGGAGCTGCTTAATGTCATGTTGCTATATCTATACTATTCCTCCTTCTTTAGAGGGAAGGAGTGATTGGGCAAGAAGGAAAGGAGTGAAGAGGGAGTAAGAAGGGAGGGATCGAAAGAGATATCTTTGCAGCGACATTGAATCTTTCCTTGCTTTTCTCTGTTTTTGGCTTCTCAGACTTGCTCGTTTAAGGTGCTCTTAAAGCGCAGTAAGTGATTCGCAAAATTTTGTGCTAGTAGATTTTGTTGTTAGCTGTTTGTCAACAATTTAGCATAACTAATTACTCTAATTAATACCAATAATTCTGTGAAGCAAACAGATTTTACTCGCTTCCGCATCTGCGACGAAACAACCACATCGTTTTACCGGTTGTTTTCCAACATTTTTCCCTTTTCCCTCCTTATATCTGTTTTTTGCCTGCATCATCTTCGCAATTTTTTTCTAAACTTGCAGCTCCACCTTTCTCTGTACTTGAAAAAAAAGTGCGAAGAAATAGGGAAGTTGAAAGAACTGTAGAAATAAGAGAGTTGAAGGAGCTAAACAATTGAAGTTTTAAATCCCATAGAAACAAAGCTGATTTAGTATTCTTATTTGTTACCAGTTTCAATAGAAGTTTCAAATTTATTGAAGTCAAAATGAGTGAAAGTGATTGCAATTTGAATAAAGTATTAAAATGAATAAAAATAAAAAAAGAAAAGGGAAAAATTTGAAGGCATTACTGTTAGGGGAAAAAAATATAGCGCTTTTAAATATGTCGTGTTGCCAACTACTGTAACTGTTGAAAATAATTTTGCTGTTGTTTTTCAGTTCAGTTTTACCATTATTAAAAGCTAACAGATTTCTTGAAATTTTATTGAGGCTGAAAAGAGGTAAAAATAAAATTGTTTATAAGGGTTTTTGCTGCTCTATAATTTTATTTACCTATTATTAGTTTCAATAATTTTCTAAAATAAGGACCAAAAAGACAACAGCAGCAACAGCGAAAAAACGGCGACGGTAATATTAACGAAGTAAAACAGGTTGTCTAGCATAATTTTGCAGCTGATAAAGGTTAAAAAAAGTGATTAATAAATTTTCTATTTCAATCTATGAATTATTCTTGAAGAAAAAATGAGTGTCTGCTTTTGTTCTTTTTTTTTATGCCTTTTTTTTTTCAGGACGAAATATTATGAGAAATTTTTTTGGTTTGATCCTTTAGTTTTCTTTATTGCTTCTGTCAACTGCCACATTTTGATGAAGCATATCAACAGCCCAAATAATGACAGATTCTTTTGCGCTTTAATACCGGAAGCCGACACTTCTCCGTTGCAAGTCCACTGATGCTTTGTTATTTCTGTCGGTAGCGGCAACGGCGACGGTATTTGGATAGAAAGTTAGGGGTGTGGAAATAAAAATCCAGCAAAAAGAAAAAAAAAAGAAAATTGAAGAAAAGAAAAAAAATTTTTTTTTTGAAAGGAACGAAAAACTAATGATGAACAGTCAAAATGACCGGTCGAAAAACAAACAAAATTTGAGGTTTATTTCTTTTTCCTTTCCCCCACTGTTATTTTCTTGTTATTTTCATTTTCCTGTCTTTTTAGTTTCATTCACTCAAAGCCTTTTGTATTCTTCCTTTTTTTTTTGTTTTTGTTTTATTTTCTAGAAAACTAGTTCCAAATAACGGCACACAGGAAGATTGCTGTATATCAGTTACGTTATTTGTGCGTAATCATCGACAGTTTTTTTTTTCTGGTGTTATTGTTTTTTTTTTCTTCCCGACGGATACTGTTGATACTTCTGCTGCAGCCATTTCTATAACCGTTGTTGTTGTTGTTCCTGCTGCTGTTACTAACTGCTGCTGCCCAATGATATTTCATTTAAAATTGCTTTAATTGGGAAGGGTAAAGCTTATCAAAGAGGAACAGGTACGGTAAGGCTAGATTAGAAAAAATAAAAAATAAAAAATAAAAACAAAAGAAAAGCGGTAAGGAAAGAGAAGTAAAAGAAGGAAAACTGAATAAATAAGTAAAAACGGAAACAAAATGATGCAATAGTTTTTTTTCATTTGTTTGTTGAGGTAAAGGCTGTTGTTAGTGAACAGCTTACCTCTGGAATCCATTTTGCGTTGAAGATTAAGCCGAAGAAGACAACAATAAACAAATAACAATAATGACAAATATAACTAATATGCCTAATAATATTAATAGGCAATAACAACCACACAGACTGTATAGGAAATCAACAGCAGAAGTTTAAACTCGTTCGTTGAGTTCTAAAAGTAAAAATCTCCTCTTATGTTACCACCTCATCACTGACTGTTGATCCCGCCTACAAATTTTTTAATTAGAAAAATCAAAGACAATATTTCAACTACTTCTCATCATCTTCCTCAATTTTTGTAGTTAAAAACAACGGCACTCATTATTACCATCACTGTCACCACTACCACCACCATCACCACCACCACCAACAACAACAACTGCACAACAGTTAATACCAATTATAGTAATAACAATAGCAATAGTTAAGAGTAATAGTAAAGCAAAGCTTTAATTATTTTAACTTA